TTTTAATGGGTCGGGTTAGGCGGGTGGATCACTAAATGATTTAATTTATTTTTTAAAATTTTTGGTTTGTTATATAAATAATTAATATCAATAATTTTTAATTAAAAAATAATTTAATATATTGAGTGAATTTTTGAGGAAAGAGTGGATAGTTGAGTGACTTTTGAGTTAAAATTCAAAGTTGAGTGATTTTATGAGAAAGATGTGCATAGTTGAGTGACTTTTGAGTGAAAATTAAAAGTCGAGTGACTTTCTGAGAGAAAAGTACATAGTTGAGTGACCATTAGAGGTATTAACTCTCTCTATATTTTTAGTTGATTGTCAGAAAATGTTCAATAGATATATTTTTTAAATAATGAAGGTGTTCAATTGGAACAAACACAAGATAAAATGTCAAAGTGAATTACGTGGACAATTTTAAGGGGCATTGAAGTCATTGTTTAAATTATTTTTTTTGTGATTTTTCTCCATTCACATGCTTACAGAAAGATTGTAAAGTTATATTGCTAAACTAAGTTGTGCGGACAAGTTTGAACTTTTTTATGTCTTTTCTCTAATTCATTTTTGCGTAATAGTCCAACTTCAGCTTTGAAAATTTCAAAAGGAATAATGCACAAGTACCCCCTCTACCTATGCCCGAAATTCTAGAGACACACTTATATATTAAGGTCCTATTACCCCCCTGAATTTATTTAAAAATAATTTTTTATCTTTTTTCGTTCTACGTGGCACTATCTTGTGGGCCCAACGTGTGTTGACATTTTTTTCAATGTAGTGCCACCAAGGTCGAAAATGGGTAGAAAATTATTTACAAAATAAGTTTAGGAAGATAATAGGATCTTAGTATAGTATAAATATGTCTCTGAGATTTCAGGTATATGTTGAGATATTCAAAACTTGTGATTTTTTATGAATTAAATAGAGATATTCATAGAGAAAGTAATCTGCTAAATTTCCAACCCAATCATTAAATTTTACATCAAATTTGATGTCAACACTATTTTTGATAATCAACTTCAAATCACTGCACCAAATTTTACACCAAAAATAAATATTTTTCTCTCTCTTCATTATTATATTATTATTTATTATTTCATTTATATTTTCTTATTTCTTAAAATAAATTTTAATGAAAACATTCACCATATATAATTCATATTATTTTCTTTCATAATCGGTTAATATAAAATTATTTTGAACCATAATTTTTTTAATAACATAAATTGCTAGCAAATATTATACATCATACATAATAATGTATAATACAAATAAAAGTGAAATCATTAATGAAATACAATTAAATAACATTACATAATTGAAAAAATTATTTTAAATTCTACGTAAATATTCAACTTTCAAGATCACTACGGTGCTTCCAAAAATGTTATATTAATCATTGTAGTTCAAAATGAATTGTTTTTGTCCTTTATTTTTTTAGATCAAGCTAGAAATTGTTGAAATTGATAATTTTCATCTATTACATTTCTACCGTCGGAATTGGACTTTCTGACGCATCTTGAATTGGTGCATTAGATCACGCTTACCCTCAATTATCATGTTGAGCATTATAATACATGAATATAATATCATGTAACACTTCTTTTCTCCGAAAACGTGAAGGTCCTGCGACAATTGTAAAATGAGATTGCGAAACTATATATTTTATATTTTAATTTCGATGTATATCAATTAATACTTTGTTGAATGTTTTACTATTTTCAGTTATATTTAAGTACATTGTATTATTTGCTTAAAATTTATATGTTCGCATTTTTAATTTTTGTGAAGGTTAATATAGTTATATCCAATTATAATTTATCGTAGAATTAACATAAATTTTATTTTTTAAATAAGTCATATATAGAAAAAATAATTTATACAAAAACTCTATTTTATATCTAAAATTAATATTATAAAAATATTACTTAAAAAATAATTAAATATACAAGATATTTAATTAAAACATACCATCTCTATATCTATGTAAAACTGAATCCAGAAAAATTCATGTGGCATATCTTTAAGGCAACATTCTATTTTTTTAAATTTCTTTTTCCAATTTTTATTTCTTAGTATCTCATTTGCATTTTAAGAAACTAAAAATATTAAATGCATTACTTAATTACTGAAGTAAATTGTAGAAGATGATTAGGTCAAAGAACCTTTCGTGAGAAAATGGTCAAATGAGCCTTCAATCTATTATCTGATTTTCAACTACACACTTTCAAAATTGTTTATTTTAGTATATAAAATAGAAAGAATAGAGAATATGTAAGCAAATACTCTTTCAATTTGTTTCTTTTCCTTGTGATATGTGCAGATTTCTTAAAGAAGAGTAGTCCTTCTGAAATGGACAGTTTCAAGGGTGTGAATATTTCTCTACAACTACTTGAGATGTAAATTCATCGTGATGAAAAAATCTAAATGAAGAGTGATTAGAGTGTCAAAAGACAAGAAGAATTATTTAGTAAAGTATCAATTTATTTGTGAAATTTATATCAAATAAGGAGGAAAAAATAAAAGGGAAAATCTATTTTGTGATTTGAATGAAGAAAGAAAGAATTTACTGAAGGGGAAAGAGAATAGATGAGGCCGAACATACACGAAAAAGGAAAAATCAAAGTTGACAGAATAGCAAATCCAATGTTAAGGAACCAAAATCAGTGGTGATGTCATTAACTTCTTTTCACTTTTTATTTTACTAATTCCTTTAGTCCTCTATTTTCTTGCATTTTAATTAGAAAAAAGAACCTAAAATATCTTTCCTTCTCATCTATCTATTGGCTCCAGAATACCCTTTGGATTCAAAATTGACCACTTATTTAATGGTTTTAAAATTAAATTACTTAAATATTTTTTAAAATACTTGACGCTCAACTATTTGTTATAATTTAATTTATTAATATAATTTTTAATCCAACCCACTACCCACTCATTACTAACTAAACGTCACCCAATTAATAAACTAATTATAATATTAAAATCGCCGTAAACACTACTAAAACACGACAAAATTATAGATTCCTGAAAATGACATTCAAAATTATTCGAGTCCAAATCGAAGCCCCAATTAAATTTAAGTTGAGCTGCTTATTTAGGAGGACACTTTCAATAGGATTCTCTTTCAAGTTTGAATTTGAAATTTATGATAAAGGTAAAGAAGTAGTATATGGTAAATTAATTTATGCACTTTTCTTAATACAATTTTATAAATATTTACGATTTATTTTAAAACCTTTGATATATTATTTTTTAAATTTTTTTTATGAAGTAACATCACATAATTTAGATGAAAGAATAATTAAGATAAACATAGTCAGACTTTTAAGTTTATCGATAATTTTTATTTAGACACTTGAATGTATGATAATTTACTTCTATAGATTTTTCACTTCAAATTTTTAAAAACACTCATTGACATAGCTTTCTTGTTTTTGTATTAGTAATGTGACAGATTTATTAATTTTTTGATATTTAATTAGTAATAAGTGGTTAGTGAAATGATTTATACATTTTATTAACAAGTTAAATTATAATAAATAGTTGAGCGCCAAAAATTTTAAAAATATTTAAGCAGTTTAAATTTAAAATCGTTAAATAAATGATGAATTTAAACCCTGATTTCCGGAATGGCAGCAATCGACTTATTTCTGTCTTACAGCTTTCTTGTAGTACTGCTCTCTTTTCAAGCGAATCGACTTTGTCTCCCCGGAAGAAGAATAGCCCCGCTCTCTAGCCGACTGATCCCGTTGACCCTATAACTGGGAGGGAACGTGTCACATTAGAGGTGAACGATCAGAGGTGTCCTCTAATCACCACGACGAGGCGGGTCCCTCTTTTAGTAGACTCAGCTATGGGTAAGGTTTTGACATCCTCCCCCTTAACCCCCCGGCGGGGGGCAGATGGACCCAAAAATAAATGACAAATATATTTTGGAGCAAATAAATGGATGGAAAATATATTTTGAAGCTTGTAAATATATGTAGATTAATTTTATACAATTTCAATATTTTAAGGTCTTTTTCATTTAGTTTAGTTAACCTTCTCAATAATATAACCCCTAAATATGAATCAAATATAATTTCGTAATTCAAGTGTAAATATTGATATTACTCCTTAAAATCGTTACAAGTGTGCCAAGTCAATTACTAATTTTATCCAACAATAGTTGTTGCGTCTTTATACATTGGAAATGATGAAAATAATGATTGAAGTGTTTGAATTTAGTGTTGCCTGACTGAAGGTCTTCTACCCCTCCATTAAAATATTTTATTTTATTAATTACAAAAAAAAAAAAAAAAAAACGTATCTATCCTCACATTAGTTTGAAGATGGAAAATGGTGTACTCCAACAAGGGAGTATAATACTTACAAACAGCATTGTTGATAGTGAGATAATGCAAAGGAGAGGAAAATTGATGCCTCGTGGTGGTGGTGGTGGTTCAGAAAAAATGATTAAGAAAAAGTCAGAAAAAGTTGGTGCCTGGAGCAAAGAGGATGAAATCACAATCCTAAAGGGACTCATAAAGTTGAAAACTGAAAAAGGAAAAATTAGGTTTGATTATGTTCAACTTTATGATTCCATTAAACAATCTCTTGCTCACAAATCAGCCACACCACTTCATTTGCAAAAAAAAATCAAGTGTCTTAGGGAGAAATACAAGAACAATTTCAACAAGAGCACCAGGACCTGGAGCATCCCACACGAGGAAGAGTTGTTCTACTTAAGTGACAAAATTTGGGGCAAAGACGATCACCAACAACTTAAAATTCCTTCTTCCAGTTTGATGAACCAACAACAACTTACAATTCCTTCTTCCAGTTTGATGAACCAACAACATCTTACACTTCCTTCTTCCAGTTTGATGAACCAACAACAACTTACACTTCCTTCTTCCAGTTTGATGAACCAACAACAACTTACACTTCCTTCTTCCAGTTTGATGAACCAGCAATTTACAATTTCTGATACAACTTTTGTGGGAGACCTAGGGTTAGCGTTAACAACTATGAGCAGGAATCAGTCTAATCAAATGCAAGTAGCTCTTCAACAATTCAAGTTAGTTTCTCAAAGTTTGAGTATTAGGAAGAGTTATGCCAACCAAATACTCCACGCGCACATAACCTTAAAAGAGGTAGTATAGATAATCCTTTTCATTTTCTTATATACTAATGTGATGGTTTACTAGTTTGTTTTTAACATTTTGCTATGCTCAACTTATTTGTCTTGCTACCTTTTAAGTGCGTCTATTTTTTTTTTCTTACCAATAACTTTTATACAAGGAGGGACTTTCTGAACAAAAGATAGCAAGGAGCTATTTCGACACAAAGATACAACATGCACAATTGGTTTCAGATGCCTATAATGCTAGCCATGGTTTTGGTAAGCTTTCTATCTAGCTAAGAACTCCTCTGTAAGGGGAAAATTAATCTTTTATTGATGTTGATATTTACTCGTTATTGCTTGGAATGATCTGAGTCTGAAGCACTTTTAGGGATTAGATTCATTGATGATCTTTTGCGGCTTTTATTTTCAAATTAAGTAGTGTCTCTGTGTCCGTTATTCCAGTTCTAAAAATAGCCCTGGTGCCAAATAGGGTTGTGCTTGTGCATGAGCATCAACAAGCTTTTCAGATGTGGCGTTTCCTTTCAAGTGGTCTCTTGGGCCTTGCTCTCTTCCCGTTAGCTTTGTCGAGTTATAAGCAATTATTTTGTTGGAAGTGTTGTCAGTGAGCTAAATTAATCAGGACTATTTCAACAAACTTCTGGAACCGAAGGAAGAATAATGATATCAATCCAAATTGTTAGCCTAACTTTGCCATCCATGATTAGTCCAAAATATATTAAGATTAGGTCCTTGTTATCCACATGCCCTACAAGTGGTTTTGCCCTATTCACAAACTTTACGGTGCATCAATGAATATGTGTTCAGCAGGGGCATAAAGGATAGAAAATATAGTTACTGTAGAACTTATTTCTACAGTTTTGTAGACTTCCTATACATGCATAATACATAAACACACTCAAACTTAGCGTCTTAGCCTAACCTGATAAATAAAACATTTAAACTTTGAGAATGCACATCTAGACTCCTCAACTTGGTCTCAATTATCAACTAAATACTCCCAACTCTACTCCATTGTGTCTCGTGAACAATCAAATTTGACATGACGTATAAATATTTAAAGGTGTCTAGATGATAATTTTGTAAGTTGAAGTGTTCAACTGACACATTGGAAATGAGTTAAGTTGTTTAGATGTGCCTACTCAAAGTGGGAGTGCTTACTTGCCAACTAAGGTGAAGTGTGAGTGTCAGTTAATGTATTATGCCTTTTATCTATGCTTTAACTTCATTTTAGTTAATTTATTGTGGAATGAACCCTAAGGAACTCAATTCTAGTGCCGAAATGAGCCCATATTTTGGTGACCCGCCCAAACCACCCATAATTTAAATGTACATTTCTTTTGTTGATTATAATTACATTTTATTTATTTATTTAATTTTATATTGGATAATCAACAATGGTGTAAAATATACAAATCATGTATTAGTATTGGCATTGCTTAAAGTGTATTAAGCATGTTTTAGTCCTAAAATGCAAATATTTATTTACTTTGAAATTAAAAACATTTTCATCTTGTTATTACACAAATTTATTTTATATTAAAAAGTTATAGGATTTTTTTTAATTTTTATGATACAATAAAACTTCATGGAGCATGTTTAACATTTTCATCTAAAAAAAAGTCTAAAATATCTTTCTCTATATTGAATTCTTAACTAAAGTACTATTTATTCATGAAAATATGAGTAAAATATGGCTAAACTAGTTTTTACCCGACCAAATTTATTACCCAACCCATTTTTACCCAATTCATTTTTACCCATATCAAATATGGGTGGGTAGAATGATTACCCATTTTATGTTTATCAATTTTCGACCCGCCCACAGTTGATCCAACCCGCCCATTTGCCACCTCTACTCGATTCCAACTGGATTTATTCCTTCGTTTGAATGAACCATACTAAACTAACTTTCATAGAACATATCACCAAATTCATTTTTCTGGCAATTTCATATTCCCTCCGTTTAAAAAAAGAATAACCCCATTTCCTTTTTAAGTCTGTTTAAAAAAGAATGACCCATTTCCTTTTTTGGCAATATTTTAACTTTAACTTTCCACGTGGCATGATTAAGACTACAAGATTAGAGGACATTTTGGTATATTTGACATAACTTTAATTTAGATTTACAAGATTAAAAAGTCTTCTTTCTTTTCTTAAACTCCGTTCCAAGTCAAAGTAGGTCATCCTTTTTTAAATGGAGGGAGTACTTATTTGCCAAAAGAAAAAGAAATGAACAAGTTGTCCCCTAAATAGGGGTAACAATCCGTAGGGACTCTTAACCTTTAAACATCTAACCCTTTCTGATTTTGCGTGATCAGGTCCATCTACATGAAACTATGTGATGTAGTTTGGCATAACTTCTTCAGTAGGGGTCACATAAGTGATGGTACTAACAATTGGATTTGGTGTCCGTCTGGCTAGCATTTCTGCTGCCGAAAGATTGTGGATCAACGAGCACACAATCACACACAAGCTAATAGAGAAGAAAAATAACACGAGAATTTAACGAAAATTGACTAAGCCTAATCCTCCAAATAGAAGCAGAGATTTCCACTATGAAAGAGAAGAAATTTACAGCGCTAATTAATCCCCAACTACAACCCCTATATAGAGACCTCAAATAGTCCAAACCTATAAAAGAAAGGTTCTTCTAATTCTACAAGAACAATGGATTTTACTTTCCCAAATCTATCAGGAAAACGAGTTTCCTAATCATTCAAGGAAAAAATTCCAGGCATAATTAACAAAATATTACCATTGGCTTGAAATCTCTTCATCAACATGAATATCTCTTTGCCTTGCCCTGAACCAATCAAATCTAGGCAATGTGTAAACTTGTTTACCGAGACTGCCTTGGTCATCATATCCTCCAAAATATCATGTGCAGACAGTTTCTTCACATCAACAACCCCTTTGCAGCCTATTATCTTGTGTTCCTTTGGTAATGAACCAAGTTTCCATGCTTGATGAAGAGAATAACACCAGCCCACTAATCAACTTCAGAACTAAAAATAACTTCTTTAATGCTGTTAGGCTCAAGCACATCAATTGCTTCTGCAACTGACAAAGCAAATTCTACAAGATTTGCATATCCAAGAAGATTCCCATCAAACTACGTTTGCACACCTTTTTGGTCGGTTGATCACTCTCTTCTCTTCTCTTTGCCTGTTATAATGATTGTTGTTGCATAGGTGAATCAACATTATCTTGATTAAGGTTTTTCACCTCCTTCACTTCTGAAATACTGGGCTGTGCTAGTGGAGATTCAATTTCTAGCTCTATGCGGTCATTGATCTGTTTTTGTTATTGCCTTCTCTCTCTGACAGTCCAATGAGGCAGATGCATTGAGTGTCATATCCCTACTAATAGTTAACACAGTCGCCTTCTAATCTGCACTACAACTTGTGACCTTTCACTCCAGTTGCATACCGTAGAAATATGGACGTCTTTGCCCTTGGCTTAAGTTTGCCATCCTTTACATGAGCATAAGTAGGACGATCAAATATTCTCAAATTTGAATAATCAGCTGGCCAATTGGATCATATCTCAAAAAGGGTTTTGATAAAAATAGCTATGGATAGAAATCTGTTGACCGAATGACAAGCTTTGTTGATTGCTTCAGCCAAAAAGTCCTTGCTAACATATGAGTGTGAAATCATGCTTTGTGCCTTGTCACTAAATGTTATGTTCATATGTTCTGCAACAACATTTTTTAGTTCTGTCCCATCACAAAATTGGTGTCTCACTATGTCCTCTCTGCTGCATCAATGATTGATGAGTTGCAAATTTAAACCCATTGTCTGTCCGAAGACACTTGACTTTTCTTTCAGTCTTCATCCAGTATTGTCAAAAGCAAAAAGAACAAAAAAAAGAAAGCTTTATGTTTATTGTTGCTTTAAGTGCGAAATGCAAATAAAGTGTGAAATTTAAAGAAATAAGACATAAAGGGAGAAAAAAAATACAAATTTGTATATTAGTATTTGTCAATCAAAGTCATAATATTTGGCAATACTCTTGGAGGGAACTCTGTTTGGAGCCCACAATCTCAATGTATATAATCTAAATTTGTTTTTGGTCTTGTGCTCTGCCTTCTTGTTCAACCTCACCATTGTTTGCTTACCAAAACACACAATGCTCAGAAAAATTCAAAACTTGATTTTCGTATTCATCCAACAAATTCTGCTTGCTCAACAAAGACAATCCTTTGTCACTTATATGACCAAATCGCTAGTGTCACAATTGAGACTGATTCTGATCACTCTTTTCACAAGGTACAATTGCTTTTGTATCATCTACTCTAGCTTGAAGACAATACAATATAGGATGCAACTTACCCTTCATAAGTACCATGGGCCCTTTACACACTTTTAAGTGTCCCATTACTTGAGTGAAACTTATACCCTCAATCATCCGAAGTCGAAAGAGAAAACAAATTTTTCTTCATTTGAGGAACACACCAAACTCATTATTTTCAATAATTTCATTAGCACAATGACCTACACTTTTATGAGAAGATTTAATATGAAAAATTCATTATCCTCGTTCTTGTTTTAGGTTCCAGAACCCTAGTTATGGAGTTAAGTTATTCATAACTTATGCAAAGAATAAGAGAATTTTCTAACTAAATAACACTAACATAAAGAGAAACATTATGAACCTTGAATTAAAACTCAATTCTTGCAATTTTAGAGTACACCATAAGTGATCTTACAATAATTCCGTTCACAATTCTAGGAAGAATGATGAAAGAATTGCAAGATTCTACAAGACAATGCTTGTAATAACTCTCCAAAAATGATTGATGTTAATTCCTAATGATATCATGACAATCAACACCTTAGAGAAGATCTATTTATAGACCCAGTGAGAAATACATGAGAAAATAATATTGAATTGTGTATCTACATTATTACGCGAATACTATTTGTAGAAACTACAATATATTCATTACCAAGTAGAATACTATTTACTATTCCTATTCCTATTCTATGTAGGATTGTATATACCTATTCCTATTCTAACAGTCTCCCTCAAGCTAGTGCATACAAGTCATGTACCTAGCTTGTTACAAATGGAATTAATACGAGGACCTATGAGGGGCTTGGTGAGATATCTGCAACTGGACTTCACAAAATTGATAGCCAATCTCAATGGCTTAGTCTTCTCACGAAATGTTGGATTTGATGCATGATGCTAGTTAATTTCAATGTGTCTGGTCTTCTCATGAAATATTGAATTTGATACATAATATCGATGAAACACAGAGTGATAAAATTATAATGTTGCACGTCCCAAATCAAGCTTAAGAAGACTGTTTTAGACCATAGAGTGACTACACAATCAACATACGACTATCAGATTCCTCCTAAGAAATAAAATTAGGCGTTTGCTCCATATAAACTTCTTCCTCGAAATCACCATAGATAGAAAAAGGAAGACCTACTATTTTAGCCACGGGAGAGAAAGTATGTCTGTAATTCAACCCAAATATCTGATTATACCACTTTTAGATTTGATCTGAAAGTGGTCCAAATATTGGAAATAAAGTTATATGAGTAGGGTCAGAATAATGACACGTTTCTACCGGGAAAGAAAATAATATTGGTAGGGTTGGATTGATGACAGAAACCTACTAAAAAGAATTATATTGGTAGGGTTAGAATGATGGCTCAACCACTAGGAAAGAGAATTATATGGGTAGGTTCAGATTGGCGGCACAATCCTATTGAAAAGGAGAAATTGTATGTGTAGAATTGGAATGATGACACGACCCTACGCAAATCAGATTTAAGGAGTTGACGTAAAGACGTAGGGAACTATGCAAATCAAGTTTGAGGAGTCACGAAACAGACAAATAGTGTTACGCAACTCAGATATAAGAAAGTAGTTTGAAAAAATCCACAGTACTATGCAAGTTAAATATGAGAAGTAGTCCATAGAGATGCATGTTGGTACACAAATAAGATATGGGAAAGTAGTCACCAGGAATATGGCATAATGCTACAGAAATTCGTTATGAGAAAGTAGTTATCAGAAGAATGACATGGTGCTACACAAAATAGATATGATAAAGTAGTTGCTGGAAGGATAGAACGGTGTTACACAAATTAGATATGAGAAAGTAGACATCGGAAAGATGACATGGCAACACTGACGGATATGGGTTGACACAAAACAATCTTAGAAAGCCAAAAGTTGATGCATGGTGACTTGTTTGACTGAGTTCTCTTCCCTTAAATATGAGGTTCATGCATATCCTTAGCCTTAGTTTTGTTAACATAATCATTGGCCAGACGGGCGACATATATGGGTCATAGCCGCTCGCTGGTAGCTGAATCTCTTTGATTCTCTATCAAGATTAGAGAAGCTTTGTTACCATGTGAGAAATATAGGAGAAACATATTATTGGAATGTGTATCTACTTTATTATTTATTACACAGAGACCCTATTTATAGACACTACAATATAATTCTTTTCCAAGTAGGATACTATTTATTATTCTTATTTCTATAACTTTTCCTATTCCTAATTCTATAGACCCACAATTTGAAACAAATATATTTCAAACATACCACTACGTCACCCTAATGCCTGGGCCTCCAATGCACCCTCTGGGGTTCGTGACACACCAACTATCATGCGGGCTGCCTAGATTTTCATCCTTCATTGTATGGTCACAGTCTTGGCAAAGGCTTATCTCATAGTGCCTACATCACTCCACGAACCTTTCGTTTTCACTGCCAAATCCCCATTTTGTCCATAATGCTCGGTTTTAGCTTCTTTGCTATTTTTGTTCCATTCTTGCTGCATTTTGACCTAAAACATGTCTAATCACTCATAGGCTACCCACAACAATTATACTCAACTAACTTGAATATAATGTAATTGACTCTTAGAACATAACTTAAACATGGTTAAAAAATGACACTTCAGTATCTGAATACACCCAAGATCAGTCACTATTTTCCCTATACTCATAACAATTTGGCTTTGTTGCTCTAAATTTCAATCAAGGATTAAACTTAATCGTATGAATTCTTTTTGTCCTGTTCTTCCCATACTCTTAAGGCCCTTGCCCTCAATTCTTCTCTTCGGAAAGCTCTTCATCAACTCTTTAATATTTAGTGCATTATTGAAATTATCTTGTGAAATATTGTTTTCCCCATATAGATAAGTATCATAATACAATGCTAAAGACCATAACACGATTAAGGCATGATAGTCATTCCCAATTTTTACATCTACGTTTTTTTAGGTCCATTTAAATTGAATTAAACTTATCAAGGTGATTTATAATTGGTGTACCTCCATTCATGTGGAGATTGTAGGACTTTTTTTTCAGGTAGCTTAGGTTTGTTTGTGATTCCTTCGAATATGGATCTTCCAACTACTTCTGGCATGTTGCTGTTGCAGATTTTTCTTCAGCAATTTCCCCCTAAACACTATTGGTAACGCTCACGAAGATCACACACAAAGCCCTCTCCTTTATGTCTTTCTTCTCTAACTCTTTAGAATAAAAATCTCCTCAATTGCCTTCCATAATCCTTGTAACATCAGAGACAATCTTATCCTAATCTTCCACAGACTGAAACTAGATCCCCCATAGTATGTCTCTTTCAAATTTTGTTGATGAAGATGAAGACATCTTAACTATTGATTATGTATAGAAACTCTAGCCTTGTTTAGATTCCAATTGTTGCACTTGCAGAAGATTTGTTTAGAAAACCTACCCTACCCTTGTTTGATAACAATTGTTGCGGAAGGATTGTGGGTTAACTAGCACATAATCACACACAAAACAAATATAGAAGACAAATAACACAATGATTTAATAACTAATCCTCCAAACAAAAACTAAGACAATTTTCCACTATGAAAGAGGCATACGATTCTCATGAATCCCCAACTACAACCCCTATATAATGATCTCAAATAGTCCAAATCTATAAGAGAAAGGTTCTTCCAATCCTACAAGGACAATGTATTTTCCTCCCCAAATCTATCAGGACAATGGGTTTCGTAAACCAATAGAGATTATAGTTTTTCTTAATATACAAGAGAAAAGTTCAAGATATAAATTAACAACCTACTTAATTGGACTTATTTGTCTTCAAATGGAAGGAAATGGGCCAACGTAATGATGATCTTATGCCTTTGTAAATAAATTGTAGTCTCCATGTCGAAGAGCCAAAAAAGTTATAATTTCAAGTACTTTTAGTAATAGAAGTCTCATCACAAAACAAATAACAAACATGTAGTAGGGTAAGTTGATCCAATATAGGTGATATAAGCTAACATGAACTTATTTTCTTCAGTATAATATGTGGGAAGATTTATATTCGATGAACAACTCCGCGAGTCTTGTCTTAAAACAACTATGTTTAATAGCAAGCTAGTTATCTATGAAAATTCTTTATTACCACTTAAACCTTCATAATAACATTTTATTTGAGCTACCAAGATTTGCGATAAGGAGAATGTTCAAAGATTCTCCGTTTTTATCTCCGTGAGGTTAACTATAAGATTAAAGAAGTTCTTTAGCTACTAGAAAAGTGTAGTGTGCTTCGTTGCACCTGAAATATCTGTGAGTAGGTCTATATTGTCTTCTCTGTGTGTCCTGTAGGCAGGGGTGAATCTAGTAAAATGGGAGGGGGGCGCCATGTTACGCACACTTCTATAGAACTATTTTGTCTTTTGCATTGAATAAGCTTACAACTTTACGAGAGATTAGTCCTCCTTTTTTCGTTTTCTATTTTGCTTCTTATTTTTTTTTTCTTTATTTGTTGTTGAATCTTTATTCCATATGAAGTTCCTTTTTTTTTGTATATTACTAATTCGTTCTTCTGTTTTTTAAGTTCATAGAGTTTATTAAGTTTTTGCTTTGAGCATCTAAATATGCATTTATAGTAACGTTTAGTTCTAGATGTCCGTCCTTGTAATGTTATAAATGCATAGTATAATTTTGTTGATATTTGTAACATTATCGAATTTCTATGCTTTGTCCAAAATTATCACAACTATCAATTTTTTTTGTTCGATCGACTTGTCTATATAAATAAAAAGACATAATCTGAACCAAAGCTCTAAATAGATCAAATCAAAAAAAAGTGTGGCACCCAAAATCTCAAAATAGTGAATCCGCCCGCCTCTACGTATATGTTCATGAGTTTAAGCCTGGAAACAACCAGTAATGCTTGCATTTTGTTAGGCTGTCCATCTCACTCCCCTCGTGGTGTAGACCTTCCTCGGACCTTGCTAACGTGTGATGTTTTGTGCACCGGACTGCTATTTATGTTGATATTTCCTATTCACCATTTAAAGAATTGTATGCATATGTGTCGTTCACTAAATACTTAGGTGTGGATTGTTTTAATTCTATGATTTGAGTTATATGACATGGAGTATCCACATTGTAAAAAAAAATGTTACTTTGGAAGATTGACAATATTTGTAATCCACATCGTACTGTCATCTTAGACCTTTTAATCCTAACTTACATGATGAGAGATTGAAAGGTTAATCTTTGTATCCTCAGGAGGCTCTCTTGTAAATATAGTATCTGATTGCGTACTCAAGGAAGATGCAACAAAGGTTATGAACGAGGGCAGTTGTCCACCAGCTACAATTGGATGTCGGAAACCAATCAATGGAAAGTATGTTTTTTTATTATATCCCGTTGCTTCCCTTTCAAGTTTTCCTTTTTGATAGTATTACATGACTTGCAAGATGTACTAGGATAAGTCAGTTTAAGACAAGTCTTAGGAATTTTTCATGACTTATTATGCTTTTTTCATTAGTGTACTACGATCTTTGCATTACTATTCTATCCTCTTCTGTTTACTGCGCTATGAATATGCAGACCTTCAGGCACAAGTCTCAAATCAGTAAGAGAAATGTGTCATTCTCAGGAGAGAAAGAAAAAAAAGAAAAGGAAGATCGAAAACCCAGAAAAGCATCGTGACTCAAGTATACAATCTCAGTTGGAGATGGAAAATCAGAGTGCAGTTGCCTATGCTAAAATTAACTATGAGAGTGCCAAATCATCAGATATACATACGTTATCGGATGGACTGACTGTTGAGGTGATGGTGAAGGGAAAAGCGGATGGGAAAGTAGCTTCTCTAGGAAAACAGGTGATTCTATTTGAAAATTTAGATAGAGATGGTGCAAATGTCATGCTGCTGAATAATCCTTTTTGTCCAGATCAAAATTCACTTCATTGCCAAATTAAGAGATACAGGATGCATTGTTGGTTCAACCATTGGTGCAGCTCCTCATCAATTTTGTCTAGGTCTCTCTCTACTCATCATTGTCTGTGAGTTGCCTGGATAAACAGTTTATGTGGATTTTTTAGTTCTTCCCATGTTTTCCTAGAAAAATCTTATCTCTCTTTCCTGATAATAAATTACTCCGCTCCACCATTTACTTAACTGATTATCCCTTTATATCCTTATTTTGGTGTCTTTGATCAGGTTACGAGAAAGTGTTAAAGGGATTGAACATTGGCATTGAAGGTAATCATTTTTGTGGACTGAAACTATTTTCTTTATATCTGAAGTGTTCTATTATGGGTGTCTAAGATATAACCTTATAGGCATGCATGTTGGTGAAAAGAGAAGACTCACCATTCCACCATCTTTGGGGTATTTACAAATCATTGTTGAAATGCTCTTTTTTAAAACTTGTTTGTTGTGATTCCAGCATTTGAACGTTTCTCTTCTCTTGTGCCTTTTGTCGGTGCAGCCCTGGGAGGAAGGCTAAGCCTCCAATAATGCCAGACTCGTGGCTTCTGTATGAAGTTGAATTGGTTGATATATGTGAATGAAGATAATATATAGTTACTCCATTCAACAATGAAAGGCATTTTGCAACCCCTCGTGAGGTAATTTTCTGAAGAGTTGTCTTATAATTAGCTGTAACTGCATTTTAGATGTTCTCTGTTCTGTTGATGATATATATATATATATACACACACACACACACATTAGCTTTTTTGATAACGTTAAGGTTTTTGATTGCTAACTTTGCCTATTGACCATTGAGAACTGTACTGAGAGATGATGTACCGTGACTGCTCTTCGAGCCATCAAAGCTGACAAAGCTTGCTTACCAACTTTGTCAAAGAAAGTAAATAATATCACATATCTATAATGAAATAAGTACCCTGAAGAAGAAATAATCCACACCACGAAATCAGAGAATGAATGTAATGACTTGACATCAAAGCACAACTCTCTTGCTCACAGAAGAGTTCATATATATGCACAAAGAACCATTGACTTGTCCATTATGTGTATCTCCACTAGTTAAGCATGATGAATAGAATAAAATAGCACTTCAACAGGTTGTATTTTTGGCTAAAGGGATGAGTAGGCCAACTATGACAGTGATTTACACTTCCCTAAGCACGTTATACTTTCTACACTTCATTATCTATTATTCTTTTCTATGAACTTATCACCTCTCTTCATCAATTATTTCATTAGTAATTCTCATCATATCAAAGGACGTTTCAATCTTCCTTCTTTTTCATTTTTTTTCTTTTCATCACTTTGTAGCTATCATTGATCACCTTTTTTACTCGACCATTCCTTCCTTCACATTTAACAATTATATCATAGTCTAAGCTACAAAGCTCAAGGAAGTAAGGTGCAAAAACTAGAATAAAACAAATTGAATCAAGGTAAAATTGCAACTACCAAATTAAAGGCTACAGACTTGAAGGGCTAACTAGTGGTAACCATATCTTAATATACTAACTTCACAATCAAAAAAAGCTTATTATCATTTTCTAAACAACGCAACACTTATCATTTCTCTTAAATAGCATACTGAGAAGTTTTCTAAGATACAAAACCATAGAATATATGCAAGAAATCCTCCCCTCTCATGGAGCATGTTTTAATCTAGTTGGATCAATTCTACTTTAAGAAAGTCAAGGTTTTCACAAACTACAAAATAAGAATAAGCTATATATATAGTCACTACCATGAGTCGAGGTGTCAGAAAGTCTGCCATTTAACTAACACTCCCAGCAGCCTAGGTGTCAAAAAGTCTACTAGTGTATTGACACTCACACGGAAAATACTATTCAAGATCAGGTCTAAGTTACAAGTTAAGCTTTAGTCAAAACCTTGTATTTATTAAAAATTCATAAAATACGTATAAATTATTTAGATTAAAATGGATCTTGAAAGAAGTTATAAGTTTAAAATTTTGGTTCCAGCTGGGATGTGCAGTGTAGATCATATGTTTAGGCTAAGAAAATATTTCCTTCTTATCCCCCATTCATGAATTTTTCTTTCCATTTTTGCTGAACTCTTGTAATCGTTTTCGTAACAAACTTGAAAACAGTATGGGCTTTCATCGTCAAACTATTTTTCAATAGAATGCCAACTTGGAATTTGTTGCAGAGCAGATTGTATCTTGCTGCAACTTTTTATTACTCTGTTTTTCCGTAAATAATTGTTGATGATGTTCACTATTTTACATTGATGAAGTTATTCAATACGATAATTTTCCTCCATGATCCCTGGTTCTTGTCCTTGTGTTATTCCTTTTTTGTCAATTCATCTAAATATATAAATTTGACAATATTATTCTTTTATTCATGTACAGGGTGATAGTTGAAGAATGATGTTGACCAACTATATGTTTTTGCTATTGATGTCTGGAAGTTGGTCACCATCTGCCATGTTTTTTGGGATTATCTAGAAATCGTTGATTGGTTGTTGACGGCTAGACATACTATTGGTAGCTTGATGTTTTTAAGTTAAGGTTTTAGTTGTTCTTTTTTATATAAAGGAAACTGTATTGGTAGCTTGATGTTTTTAAGTTAGGTTTTAGTTGTTCTTTTTTGGATAATGGAAACTGTGTATTCACAATAGTCTCATCATCAAATAGATGATGAGCATAGGTAAATTGTAAGCTCATTAGAGCATATGACAAATTTACCCTACTGGAGAATAGAAATTTCCTATGAAACCAACAAACAAGTTCTATATCTCCCACCATATTTTGCTTACACCAAAAATACAAAAGGTTAAGACAATTCATTTTAATCTTCTGGGTGTTGTTTCTCCTGTCCTCAAATCATCTTGTGTTTATTTTTCCAGAGTTCATCAGATGTAAGCTGAGATTAACTCCCACCAATCTTCACCATAACCTCTTCTTCCTATCTCCTCCCTGATGTATAATAAGCCCTTAGTAGTCCTTGGCATTACTCAATACACACCAAGTATGCAGAGAAACATGTTCCACAGGTTTGTATATACATTGCAATATTGGCGGAGTAGATCTCCATTAACTTCTCTATCTTGATCACAGGAATATATTTCTCTTCCTTTTTCATGAAGCACTTCATGAGTGAAACTTGCCCTTCTGCACCAACCAAGCAAAACATGAAATCTTTAAAGGTATTTTTTATCTTCCAAATTAATTTCCGTGGCCAAAATCTAATTTTTGATAGTATAAGGGTAAGAACTCAACTATAAATCAAGAATGCAGACTTAATCATTGTAGTAGAATAAATGGGTGGATGATTCCACAAAATCTACTAAAAGAGTTTGTAGTATCAAATGTAACAATTCAACTAAACTTCGGAAATTCAAGTAATTAACAAGTAATATAAGGGTGTAAGTAGGGGTTTATAAAATCAAACCAAATCGCAAACCGAATTAACCTAACCCCCCCCCCCCCCGACTAATGGTTTATTTAGATTTGGTTTGGTATTCGAAAAAAGAAAATCGTCTTTATTTGGGTTTGGTTTGATTTTAACTTAAAAACCCAACCCGAGATCAAACCAACCTGGCATTACATATGTTATTTTAAAATTTATTTTATACAAAAAATATTTACTTTGATATAATTTTAAAATATTTCTTATACTATTTTGATAGCTTTATCTTTTGTTATATTATTTCAAGTTTAAACTTAAAATTTGGAATGGTCCAGTAAAAATTATAGTTCGTAGATGTTGATAATTATAATAAAACGTAAATCAAAATCAAATGAATACTAATGCAAAAAGAAAATCAATTTAACATTAAGAATGACAATAATATGGAATATTTATTCTTTAGTTTTACATTGGTTTAGATAATTAAAATACATAATCTAATTTTAATTTTTCTTAAATATTTAGTAATGTAACTAGTACTTATTAAACTTATTTTAGCAAGATTTAATACTTTAAATTATGATCATTTTCATTATAACTTTACAATATTTATTTTCTATGATGATTTCATTATTATTTTTGATTGAATATTTTTGTGTCATCAATACTCATCTCATATTTTGTTCTACTTTTTTAAGAAACACCTTATATAATTGTATTTTTGTTAGACTAAAAAAATATTTGAAGCACATATTAATTATATGTTTGTATGCAAACTTCACCAAAAAATCCAAAATCTGAAGAAAAAAAAATTGAGGTTTATTATTTGGTTTGATTTATAAATTTAAAAATTGGACACAATGGTTTGATTTGGTATTTGAAAAACTCGAACCAATCCGAGGTTGAAAAATCCAAAAAAGAAATCGAAGTCTATTAGTTTGGTTTGGTTTGGTTTATAAATTTTAAATTTTTATACAAATGATTTGATTTGATGTTTGAAAAATCCGAACCAATCCGGTCATGTACACACCCAAGTATAAGGATTGGAGATTGATGTCACATAGGGGCGAATGTGTTGGTCAATAGTGCTAAACATTCATGGATATGATGGGTCATCTTTAATGACACTAATCTTCTTTTAATCTCATAGTATTAGTTCATAGATCTCCTTTCAATCTCATCTATGTGCATACCTAAACATCATATTACCTTGCAACCTTAATTCATAGGTTAACTGTAACGACCTGTTTAGTCGTTTTGAGCAGCAGATTTTATTTCTGGAAAAACAGGCTGAGACGACGGAACCCACGACGGACCGTCATGGGCACGACGGACCGTCGAGGGGGTCTCGTTCCAAAACACTTAGAATTCTAAAATTTGGGTACTGAAATCGACTCTCTGAACTTCATGACGAAGTGGCAGGACGGACCGTCGTGGGCACGACGGACCGTCACAGGCCCTTAGTGAAAAGTTAGTCTCTGAACTCTGTGACGGAAGCAGCAGGACGGAACGTCGCAGGCACGACGGCCCGTCACAGGCTGCGTAATCCCAGACTGGGTCGGATTTCTGTTAAGTATTTTAAGGGACGTTTTGGACTATTCCTGCTATAATTATAAATTTAGTGGGTTAATGTTAATAATTTAACTACTTGAGGGTTAAAAAAGATAACCTTGAATTAATTAATGGGTTAATTCACCATCTTTTATACTTAATTATATGCTAATTAGGGTAAAAGAAAGAGGGTTTGAATAAGAAAAAGAAAAGAACAGAAAGAGAGGGAGAAAACCGATCGAGAGAGAGGAGAAACGAAGAAGAAAGCAAAGATTTTGAGGATTAGCTTGCTTGATCACAATTCTTCGGTGGAGGTAGGTTATGGTTTTTATACTATTCGTAGTAAACTCTTAATAGCGAATGATATGTGTTGGGTTGTATTGTAAAGTCTTCTATATGCTTAATTGTATGCTTGCATGAATATGATTATATAATTGTGATGAAATAAGCATGATGAAGATATTGAATCTCAAATCTTGAAAACTCCAATCTTGAAAACCCCTTGTTAATGATGATGCCTTGGTATAAAAGAAGGCTTGATGAACTAAAGTAATGAGATTGATATGCCTTGATATAAAAGAAGGCTTTATGGATTAACAGAATAAGATTAGTGGAGCGGGTGTCACGAACCGACACGTAGAACTAGGGTATCGGGTGTCACGAACCGACACGTAGAACTAGGGGATCGGGTGTCACGAACCGACACGTAAAATTAGGGGATCGGGTGTCACGAACCGACACGTAGAACTAGGGGATCGGGTGTCACGAACCGACACGTAGAATTAGGGGATCGGAGTGTCAAGTTTCGACACATAATAGTAGGAGATCGGAGTGTCACGTTCCGACACCAGGATAGTATGATGAGGATCAGAGTGTCACGTGTCGACACCAGAGGAATAAAGATAATGAATCTTGGAATTAAGTTAATAAATTCGAATGAAAAGAACTTATTTCCCAAATGAGTATGATATGGAGGCTTGAGTCCTCATGAAAGTCTTCCGCTTGTTTATTAATGAAAGTATTCTTCGTGTGTGAATAAAGTTTTAGATTCTTACTTATTTTTAAGTGTATATTATGCGATAATTGATACAAGAGGCTTGTGTGGGACTTTTCGGGGTCCCATTCGTTGGTAACTTCTGGGGGGTGCTTCTCGGTCGTTGAAGTTGATCAGGTATCTTTATTGAGTATTTCAGATTATATTGAGTTAAAATATTTTCATTAATAGCATCTTTATGAGTTGAGTTTGCACTTGAGTTGCTGTATTGTTGAGTAAGTCTTCCGTTGAGTATCGAGCCAATATAAGGTTTCACTTGAGTAAGTCTTCCATTAAATGTATGATATATTCTAGTGCCTAGATTGCAAGTCAAATAAACTTTATGCATACCAAGAGGAATCATTCCACTTTTCACTTGATAATTATTTTTACATCAGCATGATTTAATAGACGTAAATTCATATCCTCTTAGTCTTTTACAATATTGTGCGCTATTGTATCAAAGTTATCGTCAAAGATATATCATTTTGTATCGATTCTCAATACGACATAACTTATTGAGATCTCATCGTTACATTAATTTTAGGTAGCTACCCCTATCATGATGTTTCATAAAGTGTTATGGCGTAGACTCTCCAAGAACATATTTTCTCATTACTATGATCATTTTGATTCTTTGATCCTCCATTTTTTTTCAATAATTATTTTATTAGAATTTATTAGTATATCATGCGTTATGCATGTCGTAGACTCTATCCTTAAGGGACATTCAATAGGAATATTTACAACTCTTGTGTTGCTTCTAATCTCCCCCTTATGTTAGACAAACTAACATAAATCTCAATCATTTGGAGAATCTATCTTTGTGCATCATTGTATATTCATTAATTATATACTACATACCAAAATAATCAGATAAAAAATATTTGGTCCCTGATCATAAATAAATTGAAAGAAAATCTGATCATAATTTATTGGTTTGATGCATGCAATTACTTTTGTATATTCATATTTCAAATCAACACATAGAGCTTTATTTTCACAAGCAATAATTTCATATTCTTAAAGTTGTGCTCTTAGCTCAATTAACTTGTACAAACAATTTTGTGAATGTCAAACTGCAAGTTTACAACTCGCACATGTGATTATATTATAGATGCACCTCTTTATCATATCACATACTAAGTGAACGGGTCCATATTCACCTTCTATACTATTCAGAATTTAGGGATTTAGTCTCGACTTTAGTTTATCCAATCAACTTATCACGAAAACAGGCGATATAAAGAATTCTTAGATAATCTTCTAGTTCTTCAATGTATGTCTATTACTAAGTATGCACATTTTTGAGATGATCAAGATATTCATGCCAACTAATAAAATTATTAGTATTAGTAAACTTAAAATTTACTATGTCATGTGTCTTTTGCTTTAGTAAATTTCTTATTTATTACTATTATATGAGAAAATTTCATCTTTAATACTCCCGGAGTAAATTTCAGATTTGATTTCATTGTTATTTGCGTTGCTTAGATACACCCGTAAATATTGAATTTTTGCTTTAATATTCGGGTTACATAGTAACATTAGCATGTTTGTCTTTGATATTTCGGCCAAATCCAATAATTGAATGTTGTAGAATTTTTATTTTTTTTGTTCGGCTCAAGTTTGATCCTAGGGATCATCCTTATTTTTGCTAATAAAAAGTCAAATTCTTAGCAATAGATATTTTATTAATTATTGATAATTCTAGTATGCTAATTGATTCTTATTATTATATTAGTATTGGATTTCTAAACTGATTTCTCTTTTCTCATAAGCCTTATTATATATATATTTT